CTCGGCTCCGTGGGGCGCTTGGGACAGGAGCCCCGGCGGCCGCTCACGGGTCGGGAGGGGGTGGCGCTGCCTTTCCCGGAGCGCAGGTTTGTGTGTGTGTGTGGGGGGGTGGGTTGGAGGAGGAACCCGCAGGCCTGGATCTGGGAAGACCTGGGAGCTGACAAGTTCTGAGAAGTTCCAGACGCGACTTCGGCGGCAGCAGCACATGCCCACCCTGGGAGCTGGGGACCACCTCACCCGACCCCCCTAAACAGCGGAAGCCACGGAGGCCGGGGGGAGGGGGCTTGCCCGAGGCCACAGGGCAAATCGACCTAAGAATCCAGTCCTGACCCTGCCCCGCTTCTTTCACTTTCATTGTTATCGTCCCTGCGGGAAGCGGGAAGCGAGGAACTCAGCTCCTCCCTCCGCCCCACCGAGCTGGCAGCCCCGCAGAGGTCAGGTCCGGGGCAGGCCCTAGCCCACCCCCCAAGAGAAGTTTCTGGGTCCCGGTGTCCATCCCCCCACTCTGAGACACCCCAGCAGACTCCGCTGCTTCTGCCAGACTTCTCCCGCAAGAAAAGAAATGCAGAAAGGAAAAAAAATCTCTTTACTGAGTCACACCCAGCTGTAAACAAGTCACCACGGGAGCCCCACCCCAACCCCCAGACCACAGTCCTCGAGGAAATACCGGGGAAGGGCAGTGGGGCAGGTGCCAAGCAGGGCAGTGGGCAGGCAGATGCAGCGGCTCCAGGTTTGTGGGAAGATGGGGTCGGAGCAGGAGTGGGGACTGAGCTCCCAGGAGCCTCGGAGCAGGCCCCGTGAGGACCAGGTGGCTAGGAAGGCTCCCTGATGGAGCTGCCCCCCTCTGCCCCCCACACACACTAGGGAGGGCACCCACTGAGGGTGAGGGCCGCCTGCGTGGCCCAGCCCCAGCTCCCCAACGGCCTGCCCAGTCCAGTCCAGTCTCCTACTCCCCCGTGAGCCTCCAGGTCGGCCCTGGGCTCAGGGGTGTAGGTGAGATGCTGCGGCTCCTCGGGGCACAGCAGGGGCTTCTTCCTGGGGCCTGGCTCCCCTGGCTGTCCGACTGGAATGTGGCAGTGAGGAGGGGCTCGTGCTCTGCTCTGGCCGGTGCTGTCTCTCAGCACTGGCCCCAGCTACACAGCCGTCTCCTGGTCCTCCCGCTGAACCATCTGGTAGTGCTGCCGGTTCTCCAGGTAGGCGGCCAGCTCCGTGTCCTGAGCCTTCTCTGCCCGCTGCCGGGGAGTGTCGCCCTGGAGGAGGGAGGAGCCGTGATCAGGCTGAGGGGAGGGCAGGCGCTCTTCCCAGGCTGCGGGTGGGGGAGGGAGGCCTGGCCGGCTGGGCCAGCCCCACCCCAACTGGCTCAGGTTTCTTAAGGTTGAGGAACAGCTTTAAATCCCCAGAGGTGGCTGCCCTCCCGAGGCTTCCCTCTCACAAGGCCCAAGTCTGGGAGAGCGTTGGCCGGGGCCTTCGTGGACTCCTTGCCCACCCTGTGGATCTGCTCACCTGCTGGTCTGTCTTCATGAGCGAGGCCCCTGCTTCCACGATGTAGTGGCAGATGGTGCGCTGGCCCAGGGCCGCTGCCTGGTGCAGACAGGTCTCCCCGCTGGGGGACAGGGGCTGGCTGTGGACCCCATCCAGTCCTCTAAGGCTCCCCCCACCCCCATCAGTCTCCCGAGGGCCATCAGGAAGGGCAGGAAGTTTGGGCCCCTAGGATAAGGGGGTGTGGCCTAGAGGATGACAGATTGGCCGGAAAGGGTTTATGGGCTCCCACCAGACCAAACATGAGTGGTTGGATGAAGACTGGGCGGTTTCCAGGGCAACCAGGGTCCTGCACTGGCAGATACTCACTTTTCCTCTACAGCATCAAGGATCTCTTGGGGGGCTGGTGGAGAGGGGAGGGACAGGTCAGAGGCCTGGCAGCCTCTCTTCCCTCCCGTGGCCCAGCCCAGGGCCCAGTGGCACAGCTTACCGTGGTCCAGCAGGTAGCGGACCACTTCCTTGCTGCCAGTGCTGACTGCGTGGTGCAGGAGCGTGCGACTCTGACCGTCACGGTGCATGAGGTCCCCCCCAGCTTGGTGCAGCTCCTGGAGCTGAGGGCAGGAGGCAGGGCAAGGCTGGGGCTCCTCTGGCCCAGCCTTTCCAGCCACAGAAACGCCCCCCAACTCACAGGTGACAGGCCTGGCACTAGCGTGCTCACACACATCACTCCCAGGGGCCGCTGGAGGTCGTTCTGGAGTGTCAGGGCTTCTCTCACCCAGAGGACCCAGGCCCTGGAGCCCGCGGTTCCTCTAATACTCGCTCCTTTCTGAGCACCAGGGACAGGCTGACTGAGCTAGGAAGCCCTTATGAAGGGACACATTGTGGGTGGACAGGGGTAAGGCAGAAGGGGACAATCACCACGGAGACCCTGCTGAGGGCAGGATGATGACAGATGACTGTGCCTGGACAGGCCAGCTCTTGGCCCACCCAGAGGCACCACTCCCCACTGCCGGAGGGGGCTGCCGAGGAGAAGACGCTGGAGCCAGGGCACTAGTACCTTACAGAAGTCGTTCCTCTTGGCAGCCTCAACCAGCTCTTCACCTGCAGGAACACCTGCCTGTTACCTCCAGGACTGGAGGCCTGGGCTTGTGTTGGTGGGTGAACATACGCATGGGGCTGCTGGGCACGTGCACCGAGGGCTGGGCTCATGGTGAATGTGACCACGTGTACCTCGGCAGTTGTGTCTGCGTAAGGCTGTGTATGGGCCCACCTCCCACCACCTCATCCTTATGACCAGGGAGAAGCCTCACCTTTAGGGGGTGCAGCATTCCCTGGCAGTGACCTACAAACAGAGTGGGATGAGACACGACCCAGCTACCGCACAGGCCAGCTTGTCCCCCTCCCAGCCCCAAGCAGGGGCACCCTTCATTCTTTCAACAGTTTATTGCATGCCTCCTACAAGTCAAGTGCTGCCCTAGGCACTGGAGATACCACAGTGACCCACAGTGACCACGGCAGACGGAGAACTGGCTCTCAGGGAGCTTACATTCTAGCCAGGGAGACAAACAAGTAGACAAATAAATAAAGTCTTTTGAGAGCAGGAAGTGCTATGAAGAACACAGGAGGACAGGGTAGTGTAATTGAACGGCAACTTCAGATGAGGTTCCCAGGAAGACTTCTCTGGGGAGGAAACACCCAGGTGTAGGTGTGAACGGAAGGGGCAGCTCCGTGAAGAACAGGAAGTGTCTGAGGCAGCAAAGGCAAGTGCGGAGGCGGGCAGACTTGAGGCCTCAGAGAACCGAGAGGCAAGTGGGGCCGGCCTGCGGCGATGGAGAGGAGAGGGCAGGCACAGGCCGTGTGCCCTGAAATGCCCACAGGGTACCGAGAGGTTCTAGGCTGGGAGCAGGAGAGCTGGAGGCAGGGGCATGGTGGCTTAGATGGGTGGTGTGATCAGATGTGGGGGAGAGCCGACAGGACGCTGAAGGGTCATAAGGGTGGGAGGAGGGGTGGGGCCACAAAGGCAGCTAGCTGAGTGTGAGGCCTGCACTCAGGGAAGTGGCTGGGGCTGAAGGCAGAGCTTCGGGAGCTACTGGATTATAGGTGGGACTTAAACCAGGGACTGGAGGAGCCCGGGACTCACCGGGGTGTGGGTGAGCAGGGGGAGGTGGGGAGAGGAGAAGTGGGGGTTGGGAGGTCAGGCCGGGCCGATGCCCCCAGCAGCTCGGGGTCCAGGATATAAATCTCGTCCTGGGCGATCTCAGTCACATAGTTGAGATGTTCCTGTGGGTAGTGAGGCCAGGGCCCAGGGTCAGGGCTGAGGGTCACAGCCTTCCAGGGCAGCCAATGGGGGTGCAAGGGCCGCAGGCTAGCAGACTTGAAGAAGCCTCTGCTCTGGACGTGAACCCTGGCAAGAGGCAGCCAGGCAAGTGGCTGCCCCTCACCTCTCCATTCACCCCTCCCCTTTCCCATCCCCAAGCCTAGGCACTGACTCTGTGTACTGGGCCTACCAGCCCCTTCCCACTGATCAACCTTTTCCCAGGCAACCTGGCCCCTGGCCAGATGTGCTTTTTCTTCTGTGTCTTCCTGGACGGCACCTGCACTTTGAGGCCCTCCCACCCATACAGCACGCCTTTTCTGGGTACACTGGCTCCCTTTCCCTGTTGGCACCATCCCTGCACACCCTATTCTGTAGGGCAGGGCCCATGGACATGGGCATGGACATGGCGATCTGAATGCTATGGAACCTGAAGACGGCTGTAGATGGAGCCGGACGGCGAGTGCTCACCTGGGCCCGGTCGATCCTGTAGAAGCGGCTGGCAGTGGTGGCTGTGGGAGACAGTGAGCTGGCTGAAGATACAGGGGCCCTTGTCCAGGCCCAGGTCTTCTGCTGCCCCGACCCAGGACCCCCCAGGGAGGAGGCAGCACATGGATTGGGGCTGCCAGGAGCCAGCCCCTCAGGGCCACTTACCGTCCAGGAAGCACCACTTGGGGGACAGTTTTTGGCATGTCGGGGACATGGCTCCAGCACCTTCGGGCTCCTGGTGAGAAGAAAGGCCGGGGCTGGGTGAAGACAGAACCTGGAGCAGGAGGGCACAGCACAGGGCGGGCTTGGGCCTCGCCTCCGTCCTCACCTGCTGGAGCCTCTCGATGTGGGCACGGCAGAGCTCGAGGTCACTGTCTCCTGGGACCACCACAGTGCCCAGTGGCACGGCTGGAAGACAGACAGGCTGTTAGCAGCCGGCCATATCCCACTGGCCTTCCCTTAGGGGACTCTGGCTCTTCAGCTGCCCCTCCCCCACCCCACCCCTCGATCCCTGCCTGCTGCTTACAGGCCTCCTTGAGCTGCTCCTTATCGTAATGCAGGGCGTCGTAGTCGTGCATGCTGACCCTGCTCACTTGGATCCGTAGCTGCTCGGGCACCGGCTGCTGGCTGAGGGCAGGGGCAATAAGCGGGGACTTGGCAAGGGCCCCGTCCAGGAATCTAGCCAAGGGTCTCCTCCCAACCGCCCTGGGGCAGAGGGACTATTAGCCACTTTCCAGTTGGGGAAGTCAAGGCTCAGCGAAGGGCAGAGTCTGGCATTGGGCCCAGGGCACACGGAGGCTGTGAAGGAACATACTCGCTGTGCAGGGGGGTGGCACTTCGCCGCTTGGCCTTCTGCACCATGGTGGCCTGGTTGCGCAGGGCGATGCGAATGCGCGAGGCGGTAAGCTTGCAGGGCTCGCCATCC